CCTCCTACAGCCCTGGTGCAAAGGCACAGGGTGCTCGACATCAGCACCTCCCTTTTCCTCCCCAAAAGGAGATCAAATGCAACCCCAGCACCCCAAAAAGAGCCCCAGGATGTGCCAGATGTCCCCGTCCCCTCGGCGAGGGGGTGATTTCAGTGCTGCCCAACTTACTGCCGGATGAACTGGATGGCATCCTCGTACTTCATCCCACTCTCAATCAAGGCCAGAGCGACGAGGACGGGAGCTCTGGAAGGCAAGGGCAGCAGCAGTCACCCCCCCAGCCACACAGCCCCGGGGCTGAGCCCCAGGCCTGGGCCAGGGGGACAAGCTGCTGGCTTCTCCTTTGGGATATCCTGCCGTTGGGCTGCAAGCGCTGCGCCGAGGAGGTAAAATGGGGTAAAATCTGATTTTTTGGGGTAAAATCTAATTCTTTCAAGGGTAAAACCCCCAGGATGGGGCCGTTTGCTGCTCTTCTGAGTAGGAGGAGTTTGGAAGCACATCTAGCAGAGAAGTGGATGGCAACACACACTCAGAACCCGACATGCAGCAGTGGGGGAGCAGCAAAACACAGCGGCTCTGGAAACGCAGCAGCTCCTGGCTGTAGCATTTTTGCAGCTGTAGCAGCAGCATTTCCATGCTGAGCATTTACCAAAAGCAAAATTTCCACTGGGCATGGGCAGGACAGCACTGAGAAACCCAGGTCCTCCCCCCTTTGGCCATGAGAAGCACGAGGAGGAGCTCAGGCAGCAGACCCCCATCGATGCCTGTTGCCACCAAGGTCTCTGCTGCGTGCAAAAACCCCCCAAAAAAGGTGGAGGGAGGAGAGCAGGTAGGGTTCTCCCTCTCCCTGCTTCACGGGGGGGTGGCAGTGAGGGTGCTGGGCTCTAACTCACCGGCCCAGGCCGGCCACGCAGTGCACGGCCACGCAGCAGCCAGGGTCTTCACAGAACTTGGTCTTCAACAAGTTGAGCCAATCTTCCACTATCTTGCTGGGAGGAGGTGCTCCATCATCGAATGGCCAGTCCTGCAAGGTGGGGGCGAGGTCAGAGGAAGAGAGAAACCTTGTCAGACCCTGGGGAAAAGCTCAGGGGACTTCTCTTTAGTCAGGGCAATGGTCTTTGGGTAGCGGGGAGGTGGATGGGTGTGCCAGGGACTGGGCTCACAGCACAGCTCCACGAGGATGTAGTGGGTTCTATGGCACCATCCAGCAGGCAGGAATCCCCCAGCTGCTTTGGCTGAGGGTTTGCAGCCATAGGAGTCTAGGTTTGAGGTCCTCCCATCTCCTGAGGACAGGTTCAGCCTTCAGGAGCACCTGCAGGATGTGCAATATGGTCCCCACCTCCTCCTGCCTCTGCAAACCAGGGTGGCCACTGCTTGCCTTCTTATTCAGATGACCACATTGAGCTCCAGGGCAATGCCAGCTCCCATCCTCCCCCCTGCCAGCTCCTGTCTAAATCCAGTGCCTGGGAGCACAAAGCCACTTTGTTGGAAGTTTGAGCAAAGGTGGCTTGGAGATGGGTGGAATCTTGGGGCCTGATGGAGCACTGAAATGCAGCCTGCTGCAACCTGTGGAGGGGAAGGTGGACACACAAGTCCCAAAAGGATGCTCTGGGGAACCCCTAACACAGCCCTGGAGAGAGACAACAGAAGGGGGACCCCTCCAAATGGGGCCATTCAAACAGCATCCTTCAGGAAAGACTCTTGAGGGACAAAAAAAACCAGCCCATCTTCTTCTGAGCTTCATCCTCAAGCTGCAGGGGTGAGCTCGGTGACACTGTGGGTGAATGGGTGCTGCACTGAACACCCCCTGGCTCCAGGCTCTGCTGCGGGGAGAAGGTGTTCCCCCCTTGCCTGCAAGTGCTGCAGCATGTTGGGGGAAGGATGGTCTCTCCCCATCAGCACAGGCAGCCAGCCAAGGCTTCACATCTCTCCCAAAATGGGGATTTCTCTGCCAAAAATGCAGGAGCGTGGCCAGTGGGAGGGAGGGCCGGGCAGGGGAGCATCTCTTGGAGGGGACACAGAGGGGAGCCCCGTGGGTGGGGAGCACGGGGCCATAATCCTCATGGCTGAGGAGTGAGTCACTAAGCTGCTGTGCTGGAGTCATCCTCGCTGTGAGAGGGTAAAAAAAGCTCCTGACCTTCACTGGAGGGGTGGAACACCTCATGTGATTCCAGCTGGGCTTGGCTAGGAGAGGAGCAGCCTGGGCTTTGGGGGATCCTGGAGCCTGAGCCAGCCCACCCCACACAGCCTGCTGCCTGTCCTGCAAGATCAGCTCCTCCCTGGTGCTTGGGAGGCACTGCTTCAGCCACCAGTGTAGGTCACCCAGCTCAGGCTGGGGATGACACACCACAAACTGAACTCACAGAATGGTTTGAGGTTGAAGGAACCTCCCAACATCACCTAGTCCATCCTCCCTGCTACAGGCATCATCTTTCACTACATCACGTTGCTCAAAGCCTCATCCAGCCTGACCTGGAACACTTCCAGCAACATCCACAACTTCTCTGGGAAACCTGCTCCAGTATCTCACCACCCTCATCAGAAAGACTTTTTCCTTATGTGTGATCTCAATCCCCTTTCAGTTTAAAGCCATTGCCCCTTGTCTTGTCACTACAGGCCCTGCTAAAACATCCTTCTCCATCTTTTTTAGAAGTCCCCTTTCTAAACTAAAAGGCTGCAATAAGGTCTCCCCAGAACCTTGATGTCTCCAGGCTGAACAACCCCAGCTCTCTCAGCCTCTCTCCACAGCAAAGGCATTTCACTCCCCTGATTAATTTTGTGGCCTCCTCTGGACCTGCTCCAACATGTCCACATCTTTCTTGTCCTGAGGACTCCAGAGCTGGGTGCAGTACTCCAAGTGTGATCTCACCAGAGCAGAGTAGAAGGAGAATCACCACCCTCAGCCTGCTGGCCACACTTCTCTTGATGCAGCCCAGGGTACAGCTGGCCTTCTGGCACACTGCCATCTCACTCCAGCTTTGAATCCACCAGTACCCCCAAGTCCTTCTCTACAAGGCTGCTCTCAATCTATTCATCACCCAGTCTGATACTGGGGACTGCCCTGACCCAGCTGCAGGACCTTGCACTTGGCCTTGTTGAATTTCATTGACATGTTCTCAAAGCTCTCAAGATCCTTCTGTATGGCATCCCTTCCCTCCAGTGTGTTGACTGTACCACACAGCCTGCTGTCACCTGTGAAACTCAGTGAGACAGGACTTAATCCCACCATCTACATCCCTGATGAAGACCTGAAACACTACTGGTGTCCCCCACACAGGACATCCAGCCTGCACCACAAACCTTCCTGCAGTGAAACCCATGCAGCAGCAGTTCTTGGGCAGGATTTCTGCCCCAAAGAAAGGGATAAGAGATACAAATATGGGCTGTCTAGACAGAGTTGATATAGGTATATAGAGAGATCTGTCTCGGGGGGGATGTATCTATCCATGTGTACAGAGAATGTATAGACACCTCTGTGGTCCACCTCATATAGTTTCTATATAGCTATAGAAACTTATATACAGAAGCTGTAGAGTTTCTGTACAGTCTCTTGTACCTCCCTATATATAACATATCCTATATAAAGGTATCTCTCTATCTAGGATGTATAGAATAGAGAGGGATGTATGTCCTAGATATTAAAACTCAGAGTGGAGGACTCCAGCCAGAAACAGGCTAAAAGGCAGAATTTGGTGTGAAAGCCAGCAGATGTGACATCCTCCACATTCTGTATGTAAGATACAGCTATCTTTCTCTAGAACATATATCCTACAGAGACAAAGCATCTCCAGCTACAGAGATCTGGAGCTGGAGGACCTGTATCTAGAGAGACATAGCATCTGTTATCTACCTGTGTTCCAAAGGATCTAGGCTCTAGCTATTTATGGGATATACATTCTACAGAGGGAGGACCAACACCCAGAGACCACCCTAGGAGACACAAGGCACTTCCAAACCCTTCCCTAGACAACGAGCAGAGCCTCACTCTCCAGCTGGAGCTCCACTCCCTGGCAGGGCACTCACGCCTGACATCATCTCCAATTGTTTATCAGCCAAGATGCAGCCCAGGCAGCTGCCTGCTCTCCCTCCTTGCCTTTTCCTGCCTGCTCCCTTTCACCCCCACCAGCTCCTGGGGGAGCAAATCCCCACCAGCACCATCCCACCCGCAGGAGCCGGCGCCGAGGGGAACCCCGCGCCTGCCCCCGAGGGGAGGGGGGCTCCCAGCCCTGCCTGCCCCCAGCCCCAGCCCCAGGCAGGGAAGGCAGCTGCCGACCCAACTGTCTGAGTCACAGTTTCGGGTGCGTGGGCAGCACTTTCTTTTTTTAAAGCCCCAACCAGCTGGATGTCAAGCTGGGGGCCGGGGAGCTCGCCTGCCTCGCCCCCAGGATGAAGCTGGGCTCCCAACCCTGCCCCCCGGGCGAGCACGGTGCCCTCTTGCTGGGGCTGAAATGCAGGGTTTTGAGCTGTTTTGAGGTGGGGGGGGCACCCCCCTCCTTGCACCCATCCTGCCACCCACCTACCATGACGGTGATGCCGTCCTTCTCCAGGGGGGTCTTGTCATAGGTCACTTCACACACTCGCACGACCGTGGTGGCACCGTATTTCTTCAGGTCCTGGGGAGGGAAGGAGAGGGAGGGCTCTGAAGCAACCCTGCCAGCTGCACCCAAACTCATCCCCCCCCCCAGCCCTGCTAATGACCATCTGGGCCACTATGGACCCTAAAACAGCGCCATGCCCCATCTAGACCTTCTGACAAACCCCTCGTGGTCCATCCAGCCCACGAAGCACACCAAGAAACACAAAATCCCAGGGCACCAAGGCCACGGGGCCATGGCAGGATTCCTACCCAGCATCTTCACAACTCCTTGGAGTCATGAGCACCCATGGGGCCATTCTAATCCCCGACAGCCCCACCGGCAGGAACTTTGCACCTTTGGGGTCATGAGCACCCATGGGGCCGTTCTAAGCCCTGACGGCCCCACCGGCAGGAACTTTGCACCCCAGGCCAAGAAACAGCCCAGACACGGGTGCAAGTCCCCCCAAAAAAGAAATCACTTGTGCCTGGCAAGGTCTCCACTCTCACTGCAGGAAAGCAGAGGTGGCTGGGGGGAGGTCACAGCACAGCCCACCCACCACACTCAGCATCTGGCAGGTTGCTCAGGGGCTCCTTGGTGACCTCATTGCTGCATCCCAGCATCACTCCAGCACGCTGCAGGCTCGGCTGGGGGGCTTTGGCTGTTCCCAGCGTGGCTCTCTGCCCACTGCAAGGACTGCCTCTGGACTACTTGCCAGTGCAGCAGCCTTGCCAGCCACTGTGTGAGATCATCCCCTTCAACCACCCATCTCCTTCGTTCCTTGCCAGACCACAGCAACCCCTGCACACTTGGCAGCACGGCCAAAAAAACCTCCAGAAGCTGGAGGAAAGGGGAATTTTTCACCCTTTGTGTTGGTGCTGTTCTCACTGCCTTGTGCAGAGCGTGCAGGGTGGCCTGAGGTGGCTGTCCTCGCATGGCAGCCACCTTTCTGTGGCTCTCTGAGTGCTCACAACAGGGTTTTTTGGGTGTGCACTGCAGGGTTTTCCTTGAGCTTGGAGGATGCTTCTGGTGCCAGCACATCTGAGTTCAATGCGGTTTAGGTGGAAGGTGGAAAACCTTCACCAGGCTCACGTGCAGCCCCAGGTCCCCCTGAAGATGCAACAACATCCCCAGTGACTCCTCGTAAGCAGAAGCAGCTCATGCCAGCTCCACTGAGCCTGCAGGACACCCATTTCCCCATGGCATTTATGAAAAGGGCAAGTGGAAGCCTTTCCTCCCAGCCCGTGGGTATGCACCCACTAATCACCCCTCACCCCAGCTGCTGCCTGTGCCAGGGGCAGCACTCCCAGGCTCATGCAACACCAAGCCCTCCAGATCCTCACTCTGGGCTCTGGAGTCACTGGGACATTTGGGATGAGAAGCCCCATACTGAGGAGCTGGGAGATGCAGGGCAGGCTGTGTGCATCCATGAGCATCACTGCAAAGCCCCTTGATGTGATGTGCTGGTGGAGCTGGCAGGGGATGCAACAGGAATGAGAAAACTCTGCTCCATCTCTGCTGTGCCCAGATGTTCTGTGCTTGGTGTCCTCCAACACATCCTACACCCCAAAAAGCTGTTCAGTGGTGGGACACACCTCCCCAGGATGCCACTGAGGACCACGGTAGCAAAAGGGGCTGCGCTGCTGCCTCATCCCACGCAGGATGGTCCCTGTTGCATCCAGCTTTTAGCCCCAAAACGTGCAGCTGGGCCGGCCCAGCTTTCCCCTTGCAGCTCCTTACCTCCAGGAAGGTGTTGAGCGTGGCATTGGTGGGGTTGTGGGTGATGAGGAACCTCATGTTTTTGTAGCAGACCTCCACCGGCGCAGGGCGGTTCATCCGGGCCATGGTGGGATGGGAGGAGGGCGAGGTGGTGGTGGTGGGGGCAAAACCCAAGAAAAAATGTGGCGTGGAGGAGGGGAGGGGGAAAAAAAAAAACCCAACCAATCCCTCGGCGCTTGAAAAATCAAAAATAAAACAGGATTTGAGCTCAATATACAGACGTTGTGCAAATAATCCCAGCTCCTGGGGAGCGCGCCGGCTTCCTCGCCACGCCGCGGGCC